AGGTTCAGTCAGGCTGGATCATGGGTTGTGATCAGGCGTGGGGTTCATGGGTCGTGATGAGGCTTGGACCGTGACCAGGCGTGGGTCGTGGGTTTTGGTCGGGCGAGGACCATGGATAATGATCAGGTGTGGGTCATGGGTTGTGATCAGGTGTGGGTCATGGGTCGTGACCAGGCGTGGGTCATGGGTCGTGACCAAGCGTGGATTATGGGTCGTGACCAAGCGTGGGCCATGATTCGTGATCAGTTATTTATCATTAATCATGTGATATGGGTCATGGGAGGTGACCAGGTGTGGGTCATGGGTTTTGATGAGGCGTGGGTCATGGGTCTCAATCAGACGTGGGTTAGGTCACTTTCAACTGACCTACCGTGCATCAAGTTGTGTACTTCTATACTGAGGGGTAACAGACGGAGGGTCGAGCCTGAACAAGTCTTAGTACCTCGTGAAATGCAACAATAGCAGATACAACTACATATCCTACAACTATATATACTACGACTATAACAGTTTGTTAACTTGTAGATCCTAGACAGGGAAGCCCATGGTATATGGTGTGGTTGTGGGGGACTGAAGGTGTGGCTGTGGGGGACTGAAGGTGTGGTTGTGGGGGACTGAAGGTGTGGCTGAGTGTGAGGGACTGAAGGTGTGGCTGAATGTGAGGGACTGACAGTGTGACTGAGTGAGATGGACTGAAGGTGTGGCTGAGTGTGAGGGACTAAACGTGTGGCTGAGTGTGAGGGGACTGAAGCTGTGGCTGAGTGTGAGGGACTGAAGATGTGGTTGAGTGTGGGGGACTAAAGGTGTGGCTGAGTGTGAAGGGACTGAAGGTGTGGCTGAGTGTGAGGGACTGAAGATGTGGCTGAGTGTGAGAGGATGAAGGTGTGGATGAATGTGAGGGGACTGAAGGTCTGGCCGAGTGTGAGGGGCTGAAGGTGTGGCTGAGTGTGAGGGGCTGAAGGTGTGGCTGAGTGCGAAGGGACTGAAGGTGTGCCTGAGTGTGAGGGAACGAAGGTGTGGCTGAGTGTGGAGGACTGAAGGTGTGGCTGAATGTGAGGGACTGAAGGTGTGGCTGAATGTGAAGGGACTGAAGGTGTGGCTGAGCGTGAGGGACTGAAGATGTGGGTGAGTGTGAGAGGATGAATGTGTGGATGAATGTGAGGGACTGAAGGTGTGGCTGAATGTGAAGGGACTGAAGGTGTGGCCGAGTGTGAGGGGCTGAAGGTGTGGCTGAGTGTGGGGGACTGAAGGTTTGGCCGAGTGTGAGGGGACTGAAGGTGTAGCTGAATGTGAGGGACTGAAGGTGTGGCTGAGTGTGAGAAACTAAAGGTGTGGCTGAGTGTGAGGGGACTGAAAGTGTGGCTGAGTGTGGAGGACTGAAGGTGTGGCTGAGTGTGGAGGACTGAAGGTATGGCTGAGTGTGGAGGACTGAAGGTATGGCTGAGTGTGGAGGACTGAAGGTGTGGCTAAGTGTGGGGGACTGAGGGTGTGGCTGAGTGTGAAGGACTGAAGGTGTGGCTGAGTATGGAGGACTGAAGGTGTAGCTGAATGTGAGGGACTGAAGGTGTGTCTGATGTGAGGGACTGAAGGTGTGGCTGAGTGTGAGGGACTGAAGGTGTGGCTGAGTGTGGAGGACTGAAGGTGTGGCTGAGTGTGAGGGGCTGAAGGTGTGGCTGAGTGTGAGAAACTGAAGGTGTGGCTGAGTGTGAGAAACTGAAGGTGTGGCTGAGTGTGAGGAACTGAAGGTGTGGCTGAGTGTGAGGGGACTAAAAATGTGGCTGAGTTTGAGGGGACTGAAGGTGTGGCTGAATGTGAGGGACTGAAGATGTGGCTGAATGTGAGGGACTGAAGGTGTGTCTGATGTGAGGGACTGAAGGTGTGGCTGAGTGTGGAGGACTGAAGGTGTGGCTGAGTGTGGAGGACTGAAGGTATGGCTGAGTGTGGAGGACTGAAGGTATGGCTGAGTGTGGAGGACTGAAGGTGTGGCTAAGTGTGGGGGATTGAAGGTGTGGCTGAGTGTGAAGGACTGAAGGTGTGGCTGAGTATGGAGGACTGAAGGTGTAGCTGAATGTGAGGGACTGAAGGTGTGTCTGATGTGAGGGACTGAAGGTGTGGCTGAGTGTGAGGGACTGAAGGTGTGGCTGAGTGTGGAGGACTGAAGGTGTGGCTGAATGTGAGGGACTGAAGGTGTGGCTGAGTGTGGAGGACTGAATGTGGGCTGATGTGAAGGGACTGAAGGTGTGGCTGAGTGTGGAGGACTGAAGTGTGGCTGAAAGTGAGGGACTGAAGGTGTGGCTGAAAGTGAGGGACTGAAGGTGTGGCTGAATGTGAGGGACTGAAGGTGTGGCTGAATGTGAGGGACTGAAGGTGTAGCTGAGTGTGGAGGACTGAAGGTGTGGCTGATGTGAAGGGACTGAAGGTGTGACTGAGTGTGAGGGACTGAAGGTGTGGCTGAGTGTGAGGGACTGAAGGTGTGACTGAGTGTGAGGGGCTGAAGGTGTGGCTGAGTGTGAGGGGACTAAAAGTGTGGCTGAGTTTGAGAGGACTGAAGGTGAGGCTGAGTGTGAGGGACTGAAGGTGTGACTGAGTGTGAGGGGCTGAAGGTGTGGCTGGGTGTGAGGAACTGAAGGTGTGGCTGAGTGTGGAGGACTGAAGGTATGGCTGAGTGTGGAGGACTGAAGGTGTGGCTGAGCGTGGAGGACTGAAGGTGTGGCTGAATGTGAGGGACTGAAGGTGTGGCTGAGTGTGGAGGGCTGAAGGTGTGGCTGAATGTGAGGGACTAAAGGTGTGGCTGAGTGTGGAGGACTGAAGGTGTGGCTGAGTGTAGAGGACTGAATGTGAGGGGCTGAATGTGAGGGACTGAAGGTATAACTGAGTGTGGAGGACTGAAGGTGTGGCTGAATGTGAGAGACTGAAAGTCTGGCTGATGTGAAAGGGACTGAAGGTGTGACTGAGTGTGAGGGACTGAAGGTGTGGCTGAATGCGAAGGGACTGAAGGTGTGGCTGAGTGTGAGGGACTGAAGGTGTGGCTGAATGCGAAGGGACTGAAGGTGTGGCTGAGTGTGAGGGACTGAAGGTGGGCTGAGTGTGAGGGACTGAAGGTGTAGCTGAATGTGAGGGACTGAAGGTGTGGCTGAATGTGAGGGACTGAAGGTGTGGCTGAGTGTGAGGGACTGAAGGTGTGGCTGAGTATGAGGGACTGAAGGTGTGGCTGAGTGTGAGGGACTGAAGGTGTGACTGCTGTGAAGGGACTGAAGGTGTGGCTGAGTGTGGAGGACTGAAGGTGTGGCTGAGTGTAGAGGACTGAATGTGAGGGGCTGAATGTGAGGGACTGAAGGTATAACTGAGTGTGGAGGACTGAAGGTGTGGCTGAATGTGAGAGACTGAAAGTCTGGCTGATGTGAAGGGACTGAAGGTGTGACTGAGTGTGAGGGACTGAAGGTGTGGCTGAATGCGAAGGGACTGAAGGTGTGGCTGAGTGTGAGGGACTGAAAGTCTGGCTGATGTGAAGGGACTGAAGGTGTGACTGAGTATGGAGGACTGAAGGTGTGGCTGAATGTGAGAGACTGAAAGTCTGGCTGATGTGAAGGGACTGAAGGTGTGACTGAGTGTGAGGGACTGAAGGTGTGGCTGAATGCGAAGGGACTGAAGGTGTGGCTGAGTGTGAGGGACTGAAGGTGTGGCTGAGTGTGAGGGACTGAAGGTGTAGCTGAATGTGAGGGACTGAAGGTGTGGCTGAATGTGAGGGACTGAAGGTGTGGCTGAGTGTGAGGGACTGAAGGTGTGGCTGAGTATGAGGGACTGAAGGTGTGGCTGAGTGTGAGGGACTGAAGGTGTGGCTGAGTATGAGGGACTGAAGGTGTGGCTGAGTGTGAGGGACTGAAGGTGTGGCTGAATGTGAAGGGACTGAAGGTGTGGCTGAGTGTGAGGGGACTGAAAGTGTGGCTGAGTTTGAGGGGACTGAAGGAGTGACTGAGGTGCTGGGTGGTAGTGTGAGGGAGACTGAAGGAGTGACTGAGGTGCTGGGTGGTAGTGTGAGGGCGACTGAAGGAGTGACTGAGGTGCCTGGTGGTAGTGTGAGGGCGACTGAAGAAGTGACTGAGGTGCTGGGTGGTAGTGTGAGGGCGACTGAAGAAGTGACTGAGGTGCTGGGTGGTAGTGTGAGGGCGACTGAAGGAGTGACTGAGGTGCCTGGTGGTAGTGCGGGGCGACCGAGGGAGTGACTGAGGTTGACAGTGGATTTCAAATGACTCTCAGCGCCGCCAACAACAATAACAACATAAGGATGTGAAGTAAGAATATTTGTTAGTGATGATATGATTATGAGGATAATAATGAGCAATGAGGAGAATGTTGAAGACAGCGAGGAGGATGGGGAGGGAGCACAGAGAGCGAGGACATACAGTAGCGGAGGAATGTTTGGTAACGGAACTAGAAGAGTGGGAGAAGGGCAGAAGGGCGTACAACAAGAGAAAATATTTAGCAACTATGACGAGAGAAGAAAGAATAATAAAGAGGAGCATGAGCAGGAAGCGAAATAACACGAAATTATATCTGATAGTGGCGCATAAAGCAAGATAATGGTAAACGGGGAGCAAGAACACACAAAAGGCAATTTCTTGTCAGGACTGTCGAGAGAAGCAGTATAATGATGATGAGGAGGAGGAGGTGATGGAGGAGGAGAAGCAAGGTTGACTTGGGGCGAGGCAGCAGCCCATCCAACATCAGGAAGCACTTGGCTGCCTTGTGATCATTTACATATGAATGTATTTCTCCTGGATTACTCAGATGTATAGAGCGATAATTACTCTCATCGCTTCGGCGTACACTATTTTCCTATTCTTCTTTAATTATGCCAACTAGGGTGTGAGTATGTTAACAGTGTGTAGTTTTATACAGAGCCGTGTTCTAGGCGGCTTGCTCCGTGTCGGCCCCCGCACACCCAACCCATCACATGTTCTCATTTTGAGGTGTTCTAATCGGATTTTTTTTCTTTGCAGGAGCGCGGGCGGCGTGGGCGTATTAGAGAGTGTAGTTTGGGCGTTCTAGTGCCGCCCGGGACACACTACAACAGCAGCAGAAGACCCATGAAAGTGTTGCTACAGTGAGCGCTCGTTCTCAGTGCTGTGGGGCCCGGGGCGAGACCCTCTCCGGCTGCCCACAGTGTTGTGCAATAAGTGTGGTGGCCATTGTGGTTGTGGCAGTGTGGTGGTGGCAGTGTTGGTGGTGGCATTGTGGTGCGCGAGTGTGGTGGTGCGTGAGCAAGGAGCAGTGATGCACCGACATGTGTGAGCAGTGCCGCCTCGGGGAGGAGGGGGACGTCGGCGACCCCTCCGGTCCCGCTTCCCCCGTGCCGCCCTGCTGCTACTGCTGCCGGGGACGCCTACGGGACATAACCACGCCGACCCCAGCGCTCAATACTAGAAGAGCAGGGGCGAGAGTGACCGGTGCAGTGGCCAAAGGGAGTGAGCGGCATGACACAACAGTTAATGAAAGAACAGTAAGGGGCCCATACAGGACTCAATCGAGGGCGGCTATGTTGGCTCTGCTATTGGTCTTTGTCATCTGTCCCGCAACCTGTGAATACGTGCGGGAATTTGAAGTGTCAGAGGGCGTGGCAATAGGAACCAATATTGGTTACATCGGCGACAGTAACCCAGGACAACCGCTGCCGCCGCCGCCGCCATACTTGATAGTACCGGTGCCAGGTAGCGCCGTGGACTCAGACCTCAGAATCGAGCAGGACACGGGTGAGATCAAAACCAAGGTAGTCCTGGACCGCGAGCTGAGGTCCTCTTACTCTCTGGTGGCCATTCCACACTCGGGCGAAAACATAAGGGTTCTCATAAAAGTCAAAGACGAGAACGACAACGCCCCCACCTTCCCTTCTGCTGTTATGAACATTGAATTTCCAGAGAACACTCCACGCGATGTGAAGCGCACGTTGGCACCAGCACGGGACAAAGACCTTGGCATCTTCAATACCCAGCGTTATCGTATTGTGTCCGGTAATGTGAACAACGCCTTTCGACTCTCCTCCCACCGTGAGAGAGATAGCGTCCTCTATCTCGACCTACAGATCAACGGATTCTTAGATCGTGAGACCACAGCATTTTATTCATTATTAATCGAGGCTTGGGATGGTGGATCTCCGCCCCTGAAGGGTTCCATGACCGTCAACATCACCATTCAGGATGTCAACGACAATCAGCCTATCTTCAATCAGAGTCGATACTTTGCTACAGTGCCGGAAAATGCAACGATTGGTACTTCTGTTTTGCAGGTCTTGGCTACAGACACTGACGCGGGGAACAACGGGAAAATCACCTACTCTATCAATCGTCGTCAGAGTGACCGAGAAAACATGTTCCAGATCGACCCCAAGTCTGGAGTCATTTCTGTCAACAGGCCTCTGGATTTTGAGACAAAGGAGGTTCACGAATTGGTGGTGGTTGCTCGCGACAACGGTGACCAACCCCTGGAGACCACTGCCTTCGTTTCCATCCGTGTCATTGATGTCAACGACAACCAGCCCACCATTAACCTCATCTTCCTCTCCGACGACGCAACACCTAAGATATCCGAAGATGCGCAGCCGGGAGAGTTCGTGGCTCGGATCTCGGTGAATGATCCCGACTCTAAGGAAGAGTATGCCAACGTGAGTGTTACCTTGGAAGGCGGGGAGGGTCACTTTGATCTCACCACGCAGGACAGTATTATCTACCTTATGGTAGTTTCGCGGCCATTAGACCGCGAATTGAAACCCAACTACACGCTAGTGGTGTTCGCTACTGATATGGGTAATCCGCCACTCCATGCCTCTCGGAAGTTTGACTTGCAAGTCACAGATATGAACGATAATGCACCAGAGTTCGATCAGACTGTGTACTATGCTAACGTGTTGGAGGTGGCCGACCCGGGCACCTCCGTGTTCCAACTGTCAGCGTTAGATCGAGACGAAGGGAACAATTCCGTGATCACATACTCGATTCGAGACACTCCTGAGACTCACTCAAACTGGTTCAAGATAGATTCTCGGACAGGACTGATCACGACGCGGACTCACGTTGACTGCGAAACTGAACCAGTGCCACAAATCACCGTCATAGCTACGGACTCTGGGTCGCCTGCATTGTCCTCCTCGGCAACCGTCAAGGTCACTATCCGCGATGTTAATGACAACGAACCCATCTTTGACCAGAGCTTCTATAACGTTTCCGTCCAGGAATCGGAAGCCGTCGCCAACTGCATATTAAAGGTGAGTGTCTAAAGTAGTACAGTATTTTTCTTACATAGTTTACCACTAAACTTAAAATCTCAGTCGTAGATAATAAAAGATGGCGAGGCAGCTGCTGTAGCCGTGAAGTGCAGTGGTGTGTCGGACGGTGGCGGTCGCCGCCCAAATTCTTAAATCCCTTAAAGATTTCACCTAGCTGCACTAGGTGAAGTCTTAAGGAAGACAATGAGAGTGAAAGCCGGGAGGGAGCCTGGGAAGCTTCTTCCCTGTGGTCTGTGTTAATTTAAAGGTGTCCTTGACATATGAAAACACTTATAAAGTGTAGATAAAAACCAAGAAGCCGCGAAACAGCCGCAGTTCCGCAGACAAAACCTGAAGCCGGTGTTGTGCTCCGCTTTATTTTCTTCCAAGGTTTCGATGTATCTCGTAATATCTTTGTCTCATAATACTTCATGTGAACGAATTTAGGCTTGAGTGGGTCCCCTGGCGTGAGCACACTTTGACAAGGTTGTTTACGGTAGTTAAGCTTGCCGTTGGTATGCTTGATGACATCGGCGGAGTCAAAGGTATGGAGGTTGGGTTGGGCGAGGCGGGGCTTGCGTGGGTCGGGTCGGGGATTGGCGGAGGCGGCGTGTCACATCGCCAGGGGGGGCGGCCGGCGTCCCTGGCTGCAGCTGCCGCCCTCCCCGTCTCACAATGTATCGTCTGATACATAGCAGATTTCGCTCTTAATTCGCGTTTGCATAGGGCAGGTGTTTGAGGGTAGGGTGAAGGCGGTAATGGGCTGCGGCGGTCATAAATATGTGCGTCATTATGGAAGGCAGGTGAGTGGGAACAGACAGCCATCTCTCTCTCCCTCAACACTAGCGATGCTCGCTCTTTGTTGGAGAGTGGCGGTCACACAGTCACCAGCACCATCACCAGACGCTTCCCGCCTCACCGGCACCACCACCAACGCTCCTTCGTCTTTGTTGGAGAGCTCGGCTCACCTGCATGAGCTCCTTTCACCTGTATCAGCACCAGACGCTCTCCGGCTTCACCCGCACCACCATTCCAGCTGGTATTAATGTAGGTAGAATTACCGACAATATTATAGGTAAAAGTAAACAAATGCAACAAATGTGACATGTTATTGTGGCAACGTTTCGCTCAACAGAAGCTCCTAGGCATTCCAGCTTGTCTCAGGCAGGGCCAGAAGTGTATTTAGTTAAAAGCTAAACAAACTACTGGATTATGAAAATGGTATACAATACCGACAGGTTGATAAGTAAGACATATGTGCAACAGTTAGGTATCTTTATTCCGAAACGTTTCGCCTACATAGTAGGCTTCTTTAGTTGAGTACAGAAGAGTTAGCAGAAGCAGTAAAGATGCGAAGACGATGTAATCATTCCATCACCCTTGAAGACGTCTTCAAGATGGACTGATTACATCGTCTCTTCATCGTTTCTGCTTCTGCTGCCTCCTCTGTACTCGACTGAAGAAGCCTACTGTGTAGGCGAAACGTTTCGGAATAAAGACACCTTACTATTGGACATGTATCTTATCAAACTACAGCTTAGGCCCTCACAATCTGAAGGAGCCTCTCAACATTTCAAAATATTTTTCATTTACTTACGCCTAAGTTCGGCTCTGAACCCATGTTCCCTTTTTATATAAAATTTAATATACGATTTAACAAATTTGTTATGTACCTCGGTTGCATTCTTGCTAAATTCAGTTGTTACACAGTCTTGTTCTATGTTAATATATGGCAAATTCAGGGCCTCACCGTGTCTAAATCCGGCCTTGGGCAGAGCAGATAGAAATATGATGGAAAAATAGACACATGCAATATAATGAGATCCTTTATTGACTACGTTTCGCCCACACAGTGGGCTTTGTCAGTCACAAGATATTTACTTAACAGAGAGTACATGAGTATATTGCAGGGTGGAGAGTCAGGTGGAGCCCGGGAAAAGCTGGATTTGAGACGGACTTGCACTGGATGGTTAAGTATGTATGTTGTTACGTTGGATAATGATACACAAGTTTCCTGACAAGGAATTCAGGTGTGTTGGAGAAGCACCACCACCACACCTAGAAATGTGATGCATCTTTCAGATACACCAGACCTGGTCGTCCAGACCATGCCAGACGGTCTTCCAGACCACGCCAGACCTGGTCGTCCAGACCATGCCAGACGGTCTTCCAGACCACGCCAGACCTGGTCGTCCAGACCATGCCAGACGGTCTTCCAGACCACGCCAGACCTGGTCGTCCAGACCATGCCAGACGGTCTTCCAGACCACGCCAGACCTGGTCGTCCAGACCACGCCAGACTTGGTCTTTTAGACCACGCCAGACCTGGTCTTCCAGACCACGCCAGACCTGGTCGTCCAGACCACGCCAGACTTGGTCTTTCAGACCACGCCGGACCTGGTCGTCCAGACCACGCCAAACCTGGTCTTCCAGACCACTCCAGACCTGGTCGTCCAGACCACGCCAAACCTGGTCTTCCAGACCACTCCAGACCTGGTCGTCCAGACCACGCCAGACCTATTTGTCAACGCCACCTCCAGCCTAGTTGTCAAAATAAGAACGCAAGAACTTCAGAAAGCAAGAGCACTGCAGAATGGCTACTGGCTCATGCTAAGGAGGTCTATATGCACAAGACAGGACCGGGCTAAGAGTACAAAAAATCTTGTAAGCCTTCAAAGGCATAGAGTCGCCAAGACCAACCAAGACTTGGTCGTAAAGACCACAACAAACGTGATTAATATCACACCTGACCTAGACCTCACCAGACCTGGGTATCATGACCACCCCAGACCTAGTCAAGACAACACCAAGCCTGGTCGCCAAGACCACACCAGATCTGGTCATCAGGACCACACTGGACCTGGTCATCAAGACCACACTGGACCTGGTCATCAAGACCACACCGGGCCTGGTCATCAAGACCACACCGGGCCTGGTCATCAAGACCACACCGGGCCTGGTCATCAAGACCACACCGGGCCTGGTCATCAAGACCACACCGGGCCTGGTCATCAAGACCACACCGGGCCTGGTCATCAAGACCACACCGGGCCTGGTCATCAAGACCACACCGGGCCTGGTCATCAAGACCACACCGGGCGTGGTCATCAAGACCACACCGGGCCTGGTCATCAAGACCACACAAGAGCTTTTCACCACCTCACCAGACCTGTTCATTAAGACCACACCACACCTTGTCATCAATACCAAGCCAGATCTGGTGAACACTACATACCTGGTCATTAAGACCACACCAGACGTGATCATCAAGACATCGCCAGACCTAGACTTCAAGACCACAGAAGGCCTGGTCAAGACCTCAGAAGACCTGGTCGTCAAGACTACACAAGGCCTGGTCAAGACCACGGAAGACCTGGTCTTCAGAGCCACAGAAAACCTAGTTGTCAAGACCACAGAAGACCAGGTCGTCAAGACCACAGTCGTCAAGGCCACAGAAGACCTGTTGGTCAAGACCACAGAAGACCTGGTGGTCATGACCACAGAAGACCTGTTGGTCAAGACCACAGAAGACCTGTTGGTCAAGACCACAGAAGACCTGTTGGTCAAGACCACAGAAGACCTGTTGATCAAGACCCCAGAAGACCTGGTGGTCAAGCCACAGAAGACCTGTTCGTCAAGACCACAGAAGACCCCCACTATCCTCAACACTCCCACTATCCCAACACCCCCGCCCCAACGATCCCCTACCATCTCCAACACCCCACCATCTCCAAAACCCCGACCATCCCCAACACCCCGACCATCCCAACACCCCCACCATCCCCATCACCCCTACCATCCCCAAAAGGCCCATCATCCACAACACCCCCACCACCACCATCCCCAACACCCCTACCCTCTCTATCTCCAACACCCCACCATCTCCAAGACCCAAAATCCAACACCCCTCATCATCCCCAACACCCCCACCCCTACTATCCCCAAAACGCATATCATCCACAACACCCCCACCCCCACCATCTCCAACACTCCCCTACCATCCCCAACACCCCCACCATCTCCAACACCCCTACCCCTCACCATCTCCTACACACCACTATCCCTAATACCCCCACCATCCTAACACCTCCTACCCCAGCCATCCATAATACCCCACCCCCCTCTACCACACCACTTTCACCACCACTACTATCACCATCACACCTACCACTACCACCACCACCACTACTACCATTACCACCACTACTACCATTACCACCACCACTACCATTACCACCACCACTACCATTACCACCACCACTACCATTACCACCACCACTACCACCACCATTACCCCACCAACACCCCACCCCACCATCTCCATAACCTCACCATCCCCATCACCCCCACCATCCCCAACACCCCACCATCCCAACACCCCACCATCCCAACACCTTCTACCCTCACCATCCCAACACCTTCTACCCCACCATCCCAACAACCCCACCATCCACTACCCCACTACTACCACCACTATCGCCACCGCCACCACAACTACTACTACTACTACTACTGCTACCACCGACACCATCCCAAACACCTCCACCCCACCATCTCCAAAATCTCCGCCAGCCCCAACACCTCCACGATCCCAACAAACCCACCCCCACTACTACCTCCACTACCACCACCATTGCCACCACCACTACTACTACTACCACCACCACCACCACCACCACCACCACCACCACCACCACCCCCACTACCACCGTTACTACCACCGCCGCCACCACCACTACCACCGTTACTACCACCGCCACCATCACTGCCACCATCACCGCTACCTCCACCATTGCCACCATCACCGCTACCTCCACCATCGCCACCACCACCACTCGTGGACCAGTCGTCACCACCACCGCCACCACTCGTGGAGCAGCCGTCACCACCACTACCACTCGTGGACCTGCCGTCACCACCACCATCGCCACCACCACCATCGCCACCACCACTACCGCCACCACCACTACCGCCACCACCACACGTGGACCAGCCGTCACCACCACCATCGCCACCACCACTACCGC